TAAAAGCAACCCTGAAGACTGATTTCCTTAGAATGGGGCTGTGGATATGATAGACGCTAAGAATTTTATTTGCTCCCTTACTTTCTTTTCTCTTCATACATGGACAGAAAGAAAGAAATCTACTCTGTGCTTTGGATGACTGAATAAATGCCAGGGCTTATTGGAACAAGATTATTAGATCTGGTTTAACAATCTATATATAAATTACTGGATAGATATGTAGCTTTACTGAAAGAACATATAATGCTTACATCTTCTAAAAATAGATGTAAGTTCTTCTGTTACATTTGAAATTATTTATATTATCATTTCCAAGGTTAATCTTCTAATAAATTTATTTATAAAGTGATCCTTTAGACCTAGATTTCAAAAACAAGCCTTTCTTTTAAGTTGCAGCTTCTGTTTTGTCATAATTGTCTTCTCCTAGTCTTTACTGTTTGCTTTTTAGCCTGTGGTCATTTAAGTTTGAGCCAACCATAGTAATTTCTTTTTCTAATTGACAAAGAGCAACAGAAAGCACTCTTTTGCACAAATGGCATTTTGCTTTTATTTTTAGGACTAGTGAGTCTAAAGTTTCTGCTGAATTCATTCTCTCGAAATTGTTATAATGACTTGTGGTTTATTATAAAATGGAATAGCTGGTTATCTTAAAATTAAATTGCTTTAAATTTTTAATTTTTTGTAATCTCTCTGATTTGTTTCTTTCTTAAATCAGCGATTTTACTAAGGTGTTTAACTTCATTTTTCTATTTGGCATCCTCCATCTAAGAGTGATTACTGAATTAATTACAAGAGAGAAGAAACTGTAGTAGAAAGCCCAGAGGGCTATGATAAGAGTAGTTGCTACTTTTACAGAGAGAAAAGATGTTGACAGCTACTTCTAAGAACAGTTACTCACGTAGATCTTATTGGTTAGAAGTAGTTTTTATGATTTATCTTACTGACTGAGTCAAAAAAATAGTATATCTTGAAAACAAGTATCACTGTAATTCTCTATATGAAAGATTTTCTTCCAGAAAATGCAAGTAATAGGGGAAAATTTGGTGATACGGAACATACTGCTGAAATTTTGTTTCCTTCCAACTATTAATTATTTTGAAATATTTTACAGTATACAATCTTTAGTGTGACTGTAATGATCCAACTTTTTTTTAAACATTTTTTATCGATTTATAATCATTTTACAATGTGTCAAATTCCAGTGTTCAGCACAGTTTTTCAGTTATACATGAACATATGTGTATATTCATCGTCACATTTTTTTCTCTGTGAGCTACCAGAAGATTTTGTGTATATTTCCCTGTGCTATACAGTATAATCTTGTTTATCTGTTCTACAATTTTGAAATCCTGTCTATCTCTTCCCACCCTCCACCCTTTTGGCAACCACAAGTTTGTATCCTATGTCTATGAGTCTATTTCTGTTTTGTATTTACGCTTTGTTTTTTGTTGTTGTTGTTTTTGTTTTTGTTTTTTAGATTCCACATATGAGCGATCTCATATGGTATTTTTCTTTCTCTTTCTGGCTTACTTCACTTAGAATGACATTCTCCAGGAAAATCCATGTTGCTGCAAATGGCGTTATGTTGTCGGTTTTTATGGCTGAGTAGTATTCCATTGTATAAATATACCACCTCTTCTTTATCCAGTCACCTGTTGATGGACATTTAGGCTGTTTCCATGTTTTGGCTATTGTAAATAGTGCTGCTAT